AAGTTTGCAGAGTGGTATATGAAGTCCTGGTCTACATACAGCCAACTTTGACTTATCCCTGAACCAGCTAATCAAACCGTGATTGAAAGTTTATTTTGAGCTCTGTAACTTAAAATGTTCTGATTTCTCTTTCAAATCAAGCTTGCAAGAACACATTTTTTACCATGGACTCATCAGTTTTTATTTTGTGAGACGTGATTTTCATAATGGCCATGAATTTCAAGTCTCTCTGCTGCATATGTGTGGTAATGCTCTTACACGTAGTTCAGTAAAGGTTTTCACAGCTGTCAGCAAAATTACACACACATTACCACATCTATTTAGCCTAATTGCATAACTGGTTGTGATTGCACCAATTGCCTAGAGAGACAGTACATGACTAAAAGCTAAAAATAAGGAAAATTGTTGGAAACAAAAATTTTTACCCGCTGTCAGCAAGTCAGCAAGTCGCTCTTGTAAGGAGATTTGAAGATTCAGAACAAGGTTAAAGGAGTCCTGATTATTATGTTAGACCACTGATTAATTAGGACATTTACGTTGACTCTTACGCTCCCCAAAGATTACTATATTATTCAGGCACACTCAAATTGTCACAAGTATTGAGGTCTGATTTTATGCCCTCTCAAGCTGTATTGATCTTAAACATATAGTGTCAATAGACCACTTTTCACTCATAAGTTCATTTTCAGACTACTGATGATCTTTTTATGTATTGGATTTCCAGCCTTTCATAGCTATCAACATATTTCCAAAAGTCATGTGTTTAATTACATAAATAGAAGTCCAAGAAAGGGATTTTGAGCCAAATAAAGACTAGGATATTGGCTGTCCAGTGCAGTCTGTGCAGATGAAACAAAACAAGAAATTGATTTCTCCAAGATCTTGCAAGTCCAACTCAGGTAATCCATACATTAGCCCAAAACCAAAATGGATGGTGACAGAAAAATAAGCCTTCTTTGGTTTTAGATCTAGCTAAGCAACAAAATTCAGGCAAAAGCTCAAAAATGAAATTAATTTGGCTCATCTACATGCGTTTCACATGTATATTGACAGTAACCACCACCATTATTCTGGTAATTTTAATGAACACAAAAATTCCCTTTGAGTTTTCTAAAGTTGTAAATAATTTTTAGCTGTCTTCATAAGTATGAAGCTGTCTGTTTTATTATTCACTACCTTGAATATCCATGGATTCCCTTAACATATGAGAGTGGGCATTTGGTTACATGGTGGCTACACCACAGCAGCTCACAGCAACTCTCCTGGCTCAGTATTCATATGCTGGGTGCAGTTATACCAGCACTGGGGAAGCTCTAGAAGCTCTGGTAAGACAGTAGAAAACGTGGCCTTTTTATGGATTACATGAAAAATGCCTGATATCTGCCAGGTCTGCACTGAAACTGTGATTTTGAGTCTTTCAGAGACCCTCTGCCATCTAATCGGAAAGGGAAAGCAGAGGCAACACCTTAAATCCATTTTAGGACTACTCCTCTGAAACACCATAAAATCTTTTAAAAAGTTGAAATTAGTACTCCTTATAAGAGTTATCTGACCACATCAAACCTCTCTGCCCACTTTATAGAGGCTGAAAGTTATAACAAACTCCAGGTTATTTTTCTGTTCCTGAGCACGAGAACTCACCAACAGGCAAACCAAGAACAGAGGAAACCAGGACCATAGTGACAAAAAGCTAAAGCCCTACAATAATTCTACTCATAAGAATATTAGCTTTAGGACAGCTTCCTTTTTCTTTCTTCTCTTTCCTTATCTTCTTTCTTTTCTTCTCTTTTTGACTTTGTGGAATTTTACTGAAGAACAAGGAATCATGCCAAAATCCTACAGAAAAGGCTTTTTCCTTTTTCTCTTCTTGCTTTGTCTGTTAAATTTCACAAAGGTTTTTCCAGATCAATATAGCTAACCTGTGCTAATTAAGCCATTAATGTAGGTGGTAAATGAGGCTTAGTCAAATGATAAATAAGAGCCCATGTCCTGC